ATTAAAATTCAAATTAAAATTTTATTTTTTAAAAAATAAATTTCTTACCATCAAACCAACAAATCCGTTCATGAATTTCAAACCCTATTGCCAGTCTACTAATAATACCCAAATTTGGCTCAAAGAAAGAAGAGATTAATTTATTCCGAAGACAAGTGAACACAAAAAACTAGAAGTGTGGGTTTCTTGTAAAGAGAGCGCGTGGAATGGCGTGAACTGAAACGGGAGAAATAAATAAGATGAAAGCCCCCATTCAGGAAAAAATACAAGTCAAAAACGCCTTTTCTGTCCTCTTGCATCGGTCATCACGCGCCCTTAAGATGGACGCTCCAGATTCCACCCACCCCCCCACCCAACCACCCTCCACGTGCTTCTATTTAATGCACCCACGTACGGTCACTGTTTTTTCGTTTTGATTCCCTCCTTACCCCGGGGGAGGCCCACTTCGAGGGGACAACACCATGTTGGTGTCCTGAGCCACTGACAGTCAGGACACGTGGATGTGTTGCATTCGCCTATTCTCAAGGTGGGGTCCAGGTGTGGCAATTATGCGTTAATGATGATCGATGTCAGTCAGATTTTGACAGTGTCACAGCTGGGTGCCTGGGTCTGGCCCGCCTGGGTCTTCGTCTGGGTCTGGGTGGTGGGTTCTGACTGGCTGGTTTGACTCGCTGAGTCACTCGGCTAATTCTTTTCTGTTTTATTCTAATATTTTCAGATTTTTAACTTTGTTTGGGTATCGTACCATGAGAGAGGCCATGTGCTTTTTTTTAAAAAAAGACAATTACAATTTGGGATACGGGATAAAAAATTTTAAGTTAAATACTCTTTTTGATCCTTTTGCTTTTGAAAAAAAGTTCATGTTTAGTTTTTGCATTGAAAATTTTCTTTTTTGACCCCTAGATTTTGAAATTTGACAACTTTTTAGTCTCTTCGTTAATTTTTGCTCGTATAGCACGTTATCTTAATGAGAACATTTGATGTGAACATTCCACCATGTAAAAAGGGGCTTACGTGGACTTAATAACACTGCTCTAGATCACTCTCTCATGCAGAAAAGAAAAAACCCTAAATGATGGGACCCACATTTTGAAATGCAATAACTATAAGTCGGCTCTCTATGAACCTTAGCAGAACATAACCCTAAATTCCCCATTTTTTTTGTTCAATCCCTTCTCTAGAAATCATTTTCCTTCTTTGGAAATTTTTGTTTTTCGTTCATAACCAACCCTTTACATGTGAGATTGGTCGAGATATTGTCCTTATAGAGGGTGGGCTTTCATAAGGCAACTAGTTCACTGATTCTTCATCAACTAGTAGCTTTCATGGGAAAAAATTTGTTTATAGATGTGGTTTGGATGCTGTTTTGAGAACATCCCTACCTTGCCAAAACATGAGAATAAGATTTTGGGATGTCCTAAATTCGAGGTGACCTGTTCATGTTTAGAACGAAATTTTTTTAAAGAACCCTAAACTGCTAATTTCATGCTATTTAGGGCGAGAAGGCTGGGAAGGTTGGGAATGCATGCGATTTCTTCTATTTTCTTGATGGTAGTGAGGTGATTGAGGGAAGAGCCAGGGATCTCTTACTACAACTTAAAGATAAGCAAATTACGCTCGAGAAAGAGATTCAAAGTTACAAGGAAGAAAACGAAAATCTTATGGCTAAAAAAGGGAGACTGTTGCAGTTAAATGCAAACTTGATGTCCGAAAATGGGAAATTCCTGTAAGAAAATGGTGACTTGAAGGTCCAATGTGAGGCATTTGTTAAGAATATCAAAGGCTTGGAGAAGAAAGTGAAGAAAAGTGAGAAGATATGTGTCAGAGCTCTTATAAGTTGTCAAATATATTTTTTGTGGTTTCTATTGTAGGTCTTATTGTTTCCATGTTTATTGGGTTGCATTAGGTTGCATTAAACATTGCCTAGAAAATGACATGATAGGAGACTTGTCTGCCTTTTTATGTAAAAGGAATGTAATTTATTCCCTATAAATGGCACATGGTCTATTAATTTTACATTCACTATACAAGTTTAATTTCATACTAGCAAATACAAAGCAAAATGTCATTCTCAACCAAGATATTTTTTTCAATAAAAAACAATTCTTCATTCTAAAATATTTGCACCATTAACATCAATGTGGATATCAAAGGTGTACCAATAGATATACAAGCTGTCCTAGAAACCATCATATGCACAAAACCATATACAACATGTACAGCATATACAAAAGAGGAATTGCCATGAAGTTGCCTAAATCCACATATAATGATAGGTTAAATGACAAAAAAAAAAAAAAGCAACTATCAATAGCTTCATTTCTAATACACCAATCTACTTCAAATTACCACAAAACACAACAATCAACACCTTCATTCCCTTGCACTTGATTGTCCACCTTTCTCTTGTCTTACTTTGGTCATTGCCTGCAATTGATTAGTAGTTATAAACTGTCTCTCAGTTGCAGAATTTTTTACACCAAAAGTTGGAGTTTTGATTGCAATAGATTTCTCTCTCTTGGCCTCACCTCTTTTATTTTGTTCCTGTGGTTGGCTAGTTGCGGTAGCTAGATTGCCTTAAGGTTCTACACTTGGGAATGCTGCATGTGTAAGGGCAATAGGAGTTGTAACTGCTAAGGTTAATCCTTTCTTTGGCCTCTTATTGCTCTTTGTTGTTTGGGAACTTTTTTTCTTGCTATGTTGAGGATTGCTATGTTGAGGATTTTTAATATTTTGAAATTAACAGTAGTAAAAGTAAAGAGGAATTTAAAATCAAAAGCCCTCACCACAATAAGCCTTTTATTTGACTTTTGCTTTTCTCCTTTTCTTTTCTCTCCAATTCTTCGATCCTAAACAAGTCTTCTTTCTTCATTAACCACTTGACTAGCAGGATCCTCAACTTGACTCATTGGGTTGTTATCATCCAAATTCTCAATGGATTAAGAAGAATCATTGCTTCTAGTTTCTTAAATAACAATAAAACCATTTTGTCCAAAAAAAAGAAAAAGGTTAAATACAAACATAATTTGTAACATTTTACATATATAAAAACTCTAAATAGAATTCTTAAGTTATGATATTAACACTTATAGTGTTAGGAGGTTGTCCTTTACAAGACCTTAAATTATGCCCTCTTTTGAAGCATTTTTTACAACTCATCACCCTTCCTTTTTTAGAGAGTGATATATGCCCTTCCATTCTTCTACGCCTTTTTTTTTTTTGGGTCAGCATAGTATTTTCCTAAGCATTGGTGGTTGAATGAGGCACAATTTAGTTTCCTTCCATTGCGTCATCCCCCTAATACAAGGAACTTCATGTTTGTAACTTGCCACGAACATATGTTTGCTATACCAGTGGCTTCAATTGTCTTGATCCTTTTATTTCCTCAATTTAATGACAATAACAACATGCTTACAAGGTATGCCTATCATGTTCTAGGACCTACAAGTGTAAGTCCTACTGTTTATATCAACAATAAATCTACCATTGTCTTCTTCTTTAGTCTCATAACCACTGCCACCAAGCTATAGTACCCTGCATCTCTTGCTTCCTTCCCTACTTGCAATAATTTTCTCCTATATTTTAGGACCAAAATCACCAACAAACTTCTATTTTCAAATGTCCTTCTAGCAATAGTCCTTGTACCACACATCATCCTAAGATTTCAAGTATTGAGAAAATTGGCTTGTGCCTTGATTCAACAATTAAGCCATTAAAAACTTCACACATATTGTTATCAACTACATCTGACTTACTGTCTTCCTTGAAGAATGACTTCGACCAAAACTTTGGGTTTATTTTTAAGATTGCATCCCTAGCTCTTTGTTTAATGTTGGTAAATTCATCAAATGCCTTCATGAAATCGACTTTAGTGGTTGCCTTTACACATTTCCAAAATGCCCTCTGTAGTTTCTTGCCTCAGTTATCCTTTTGGAAGTTGAAATATATGTGTCTTGCACATTTTCTATGTTCAGCATTTGAAAACAGCTCTTTTATTGCATTCATTAGCCCCTGCCATGCAGATTATAAAGTATTAAAGGCCATACAAATGGAATATATATATATATATATTAAAAATATGTAGATTCCATAAGGTCCCAAATTGGCCCCTGAAGTTTAAAATCAAATTTGGACCTTAGTTAAACCAAAGAAATAAAGCATAGCAATAACCTTCTATTGGTCTAATATAAATGTAATTCTATTTCCTGTACCAAGTTGCATATCTGCTTGTAGTTCTTCTAGAAACCGTCTCCAAGTTTCTGCCTTCTCAACTTCAACAACTACCCATGTCAATGGGTACATTTGATCGTTGGCATCTCGTCCAATTGCCACCAACAAAAATCCTTTATTTGCTCGCTTAAGAAAAGGTCCATCAACCCCTATTACACACCTACAACCAATAACAAATCCACGTTTCATAGCACTGAAACATACATACATTCTCATGAAGATAGGATTTGTATCTATTGTCAACCTTGATGGCTGAATGAGAATTATGGTTGCTAGATCTCTTTTCCTCAACTTAGCAACATAGTCTCATACTTTACCATATTCCATCAAACAATTTCCTTCAAAAACATGGGAAATTTTCTCTCTTGCCTTCTTGCATTGTTTTCCAATTAACTCCAGCCTAGTGTTTTTTCAGATGGTTTGAAAAATGTCATTTGCTTTCAAGTAAGGAAAAGTGAAACCCATTTTCTTAACCAAATACTTTGATGTCAGATGGTTTGAAAAATGTCATTTGCTTTCAAGTAAGGAGAAGCAAAACCCAT